GGTTTATGTCATGTTTTGCATGTCCACATGTGTGCTGGTTTTTCTTTACTTGTAGGAAACCTATCAAAAGCTTGATGAGGAGAGGTCTACACAGGCGACAGACGGTCAATCCAGCTCATCCTATTCCGATAATGGGAGCATGTTCATTACAGCTGCAAGTGGATTCAAAAAGAAAGGAAGGGTGGTAGGGCTTGGAGGATATGTGAGCCGGCTGAAGCCTAGTAAGCGATCCTTTTTCCCAGGCTGGAAGTGTTTCTGCAGGTAAACTCAAATTATAGTTAATTCTTTTATGTTTTCAATCTCTATTGTCTTTATATTAAGCATAAAATTGTTTTATAATAATGTATTCGTAAATTAGCTTAAAAGGATGAGGTCGTCCCAGCTAGAGAATCAACTGAAGACGTCCCAGCTTGAGGAGCAACTGCATGCTGCGACAGAGCAGTTGACTCAGCAAGTAGACATCATGAAACAAATGCAGGAACAACTCCGGCTTTTAATGCAGGAGAAGGAAGACAACTGCGAGAAGATGAAGGGACCGACGCCGGATAATGACCATGATGATGATGATGACTTTGTTAATTAGGACTTTAGAGGCATACTAGTTTTTTTTTGTATGTTTTATTCTATTTATGACTTTAGAGACATTTCAGTTATTTTTATTTGTTTTATTTATTTTTTAGGATTGTTGTTGCTCACTTTTGTTGATACACCTGTTGATTTTAATTCAGTTATTTATCCAGTATTTTTTAGGATTACTGTTGCTCAGTTGTGTATTTATGTTCATTTGGAACCCTTGCTGTTTATAGAAAAATTAACAAGCTTTTAGTACATTATTTAAATTTTTTATTTTTTTTAATTCCTAAATTTGCAAGGGAAATTTTAATATTTTCGTCGCAAAGTTCACAGCCTTTTGCGAGGGAAATTTTAAAATTCCCTTGCAAATTCTACGGCGAGTTCTTTTTGTTTTCTGTCGCAAATTTCGCAGCCTATTGCGACAAAAATTTTATAAATTCCCTTGCAAATTCCGCGGCGGATTTAGTTTTTCTGTCGCAGTTTCGGCAACATATTGCGAGGAAAATTTACAACATTCCCTTGAAAACTTGCGATGGAAATTTTTTCTTCAAATTTCGTCACAACCTGCGACGAAATAACACTGTAGCGGAGTCTGCTGTTCGCGACAAAAAAATGTAGTTTTTTGTGTGGGAAAATTTTCCTAGCAATTTGCGAGGAAATTTTGTTTCCACAAATTTTCCTCGCAAATACTTTTAACGACAAACCTTTTCCCGCGCAAGTTCTGTCGCAGACCGTTTTTGCAAGGGAATTTAGCGATTTTGCGAGGGATATGTTCCCTCGCTGATTCTGAATTTTCTGGTAGTGAAACAAGTTAACTTTAACATGATGTTTTTCTCTAAAAATGACATACTAATGAAAATCTATAAGCAAAAATCGATTTCAAAATTAAGTAGATTTTAAAGGAACTTTATGAATATTAATCTTAAACTCTTACAAAAAAATTGTGAATATTTTGAACACGAGAGTTGGTAACATAAACAAAGTGTTATATTTAATTACTATACCCGTTGCCTGGTTACTTTATGTTTCTCTTTTTTAAGAGGTGATGTGTGAGAGTCACGTGAATTGGCATCGTGACATATCAAAATTGGTTATAAGTTTAGTCGACATCGGCAGCAATCATGGCAGAGGTTCCTTCTTGGAAATATTCACATCTCGAGAGCCACATGAGAGACACAACGTGTTGCACTTTCATGCATGCATGCATGCATGAACATGATGCACGCCACAGTCACGTGCCTACGTCCCAATTGATCAAAAACCTGCTGAGTTTTCACTGGATTTAATTATTCAATTACCAGCAACTCTCTCCTGGTTTTCTTATACACGCCAAACCAATGGACTCCATTTAATGATTTTCTTTACTCTTTTTTTGGACTATGCACAAGTGACCAACCTTTCTCTGTTCCTTTACTAAGTACTTTGTTTTCTTAAGCACGTTGATTCCAACATCCAACGCCTATCCCTGCAATGCAAGTGGGACCCCGAGTCCACCAAAAGATTACTTATGTTTGACCAATTAACACCCTTTTCTTCGTAGCCACGAAATTGGTCCAACATTGACACTTTTGATTGACGTAGCAATTTTTCTTTGAATTATTTTTTTCAATTTGTGCAACAGGTTGGTAACAGACTACCGTAGGGTAAAAGTGCAACAATAAGCTTATTTTGAATTTGTTTTTAACTTGTCATTAACTTTTATCATCTAGCATGTGAATTAATCGAGTGATTTCAAATTTATAGGGTCTTTAACAATTTTATAGAAAGAGTTTTTTCGCTTTAATTTGTAGTGCGACACCGTATTAATCGAGTTACAAATGAATTGGTAGGTAAATTTAAAAAATAAAATTAACTTATTTTATATTCAAACAGCCTATGACAAATATTTTTAAAATGAATTTTTTTCAAGAAAAAAAAAACATTTCACGCAAATGATCAACACTTTTTTTCACAACAATCTGAGTTTTGAATTACCATAATTAATACTGTCTATGCAGATTCACCTCATTGCCAGTCATCTAATAAGCACCGACACTTCAAAAATCCTGACGTATCGTATCCGACACTTCCTGACACTCCAATACTCGTTGCAAAGTTGATATAAACAATTGTGATATCTTGTGTTTTTGAGTTCCAACCATTAGATTCGTTAGATTACGATTACGATTTTATTGAGTTTAATATAAACATTTGTGATATCTTGTGTTTCTTTGCAAAATTGATAGGTATTATAAGTTTAACTCTTTTTTTGTTAAATTATTGAATACTAAATATAATATACGTTACATAAATTAAAAATATTATATAATATCAAAACGTGTTCTAAGGTATCGGAATTTAATAATTTTTAAAATTAACGTGTCGTGTCATATCCTATATCCCGTGTCGGTGTCAGTGTAACATAGTCAATCACGACAGAAGTTGATACAAGGCCCTATAATTTGTACAGTATTCTCAATAACATTATGTATACTTTTTTAAAATTACAACTTTGCATTAAAGCTTGGAGGATTTCAATATTAATGAACACTACGAATTATAAAAGTGAATTTTCATCGGATCTTAATTTTCTATAAAAAAAATTTGAAAAATATTAAAAGTCAAATATTTAAGGACAAATTATAATCCACTAATTAAGATTATTTTGAAAAAATATTTTATTATTTAAAAATAATTACTATTTGAAATAATTTAATTGGGAGATCTCATATATATAATTTAATTATTTAAATGACTCCTCTAAATGATTTCCATAAAAGTAAAAAAAATATTGACTCCTGTAAATAATTATCTTCCATATGAATACGATCCATTGCCAAAGGCGAAGTTCAGCTTCATTTTGCCGTTTATTGAGGAAAGCCATGACATGACTTACGTAAACTTACTTTCCCATCATCTCTCTCTAGAACGCAGAAAAAAAAAATTAAAACAAAACAAATCACAACAGTCATTAGACAACGTGTGGTAATGAACTTACTTTCTTTTTCTTTTTATTTTCAGGGTGCAAGATAAAATTAATTTATTAATATTAAATATTTTTTTATTTTATCATAAATATGGGTTCTCTTTTTCTACGGTCAATATAGATAACTTATTTACATTGAGCTCAAAACGACGTCATTTTAAGACGAAAATCAAGATATTTTTGTAATTATAATTTGTTTCAGGGTTATAATAGTCTTTTTATTTATTTTTTAAAACAAAACGACGTCGTTTTGGGAGTGAATGTAGATAACTTATACCATAAATATTTAAAGAATAATACACTAATTTTATTTTATTTTATTTGGTCTTATTCCATTCCATTCTTTCTTTCATTATATATTCATACAACATAACTCTTATAAAACGTATTATTTGAGCACTCAAAACGAATCTCTATAACATAACACAATCAATCTTCCTACAACATAACTCTTATAAAACTCTTAATAAATAGTATAAATATCATCATCACATCCGGTGTTTGATACACTTGTAGTACAAAACATCCCAGCAAAAGAAAAAATACCAACAACACGCTTCTGTAGGGCATTTCATTCAAAATCAACACCAATAATAAGTCCTCCTTTAAAATAAAAGCAAAAAGTAAAAATTCTCAGCAAATGAAAAAAATACCAACAACACGCTCTGTAACATACAACATGGTAATCAAGGTTAATATCTTCTTTAACATAAAAAAATATTTTAGTTCTACACATATAACAAATATACGGATTTAATTGAAAAGAAAAAAAAGAAAAAAAATTCAATAAAACTTACATATTTATTATGTATATATAAAAAGAATATTTTTTCTCGTGAGAAAATATTAATCCATTTAATTATAACGAAAATGTAGTATTTCAAATCCTATATAATTGATTATGACTGCTTTCATTCTCTCACCTCCTGTATGATCCCCACTTCAGTCAAAATCAACTTCAATAATATATCGTGAGGAAGATATTTTAACTATACAAAAAATTCATTACCAACCTATTCAGTATATTTGCTTCTTTCAAAAAAAATTCAGCATTCTCTTGTTCTGATTCAAAAATAATTAAGTAGATAATGATTTGGTAGTGATTTTTGTGGTAATAAAAATATCCTTCTCATAAATCCTTTAAAATAAAAAAATAAAAAAACCCATCAAATGAGAAATTGCCAATACCGTTTGTTTGGTTGTTAGTTTCGAGAAACACGCTTTGTAAAAACGGAAACCGCCCCTCGTAACGCAAACTTCCATCTTCTTCTCGTCGTTTTCCCACTCTCCAAGTGAACCACGACACATACCTTTATAAATAAACCCTCTTCCCTTTCTTTCTTTCTTCATATCTCAAAACACATTTCATAACACATAAAAGTCTTTCTCATTCTCAAGCTTATAACTTCTTCCATTTCTCATTCACACTCTTCATTAACTTTCCCATTTCTCATTCTCCGCGATGGACACAAAACTTGGATCTCTTGACACGTGTAAGCCTGCCAGCAACCACGTAGGGTGTCCTCCAAACGGCACCGCATCGACCATCCAACACTCTGTTCCGTCGTCGTTGATTACCTTCTCCGACGCCACCCTAGGCCGCCACCTTGCACGCCGCCTCGTCCAGGTTGGCGTCACCGACGTGTTCTCCGTTCCCGGCGACTTCAACCTCACGCTCCTCGACCACCTCATCGCCGAGCCGCAGCTCAACGTCATCGGCTGCTGCAACGAGCTCAACGCCGGGTACGCCGCCGATGGCTACGCTCGCTCCCGCGGCGTCGGCGCCTGCGTCGTGACGTTCACCGTCGGTGGCCTCAGCTTGATCAATGCCGTTGCCGGAGCTTACAGTGAGAACCTGCCGTTGATCTGCATCGTTGGTGGTCCCAACTCTAACGACTTTGGCACCAACAGGATCCTCCACCACACGATCGGGTTACCCGATTTCAGCCAAGAACTCAGGTGCTTTCAAACAGTTACTTGCTTCCAGGTTAATATCTCAACTCTTTTTTCTTTTTCTTTTTCAATATTAGTGTTTTTTTTTTATACTTATTATTGGTTATTATTAAATCAATTGAAAATTTTATTTTTCAAGAGGTGATTTTAAATTGATCCAATTGATAGCAACAGTAGTAAACCTTCCCCAATAAAGAATGTATTATTCTGATCTAAGGTCAATGAAGATGCCTAAATAGATTACGGATATTATTAGAGTAAACACTCTTTTTTGTCCGTGGTAATATTTAAGAAATCTTTTTTAATTCCTGCCAATAAAAAAGGACCAAATTGGTCTCTAAAAGTATGAAAAAAGGGCTACGTTAGTGACGGAGGAGTTGACATAAGGACTAATGTGGCCCTTTTTTATAATTTTAGGGACCAATTTGGTCCTTTTTTATTGTCAGGGACTAAAAAGGATTTCGTAGATATTGCCAGCGACCAAAAAGGATGTTTACTCTTATTATTATTATTATTATTATTATTATTATTAATTTTAATTTCTTGGTGGACGTGGAGTTTATTGATTGAGTTAAATGGTTATAGTAATATTGGTTTATTTGATAGGCTGTGGTGAATAACTTGGAAGATGCTCATGATATGATTGATACTGCAATTTCAACCTCACTCAAAGAAAGCAAGCCTGTTTTTATTAGTATCAGTTGTAACTTGCCTGCCATTCCTCACCCCACTTTCACTCGTGACCCTGTTCCGTTTTCTTTAACTCCAAGGTAACGTTTTATTTTATTTTATTTTGAATATTTTAATCTCCTGTGGTTTTGTGAAGAATCCAATCATGGGGAATGTTATTGATTAGTTTAGTCTCATTTGATTTTTATTTTTTATTTTTTTATTTATGTTGATGTTTATTTATTTATACATTGGTGTTTTGCAGATTGAGTAATAAGATGGGGTTGGAGGCAGCTGTGGAGGCTGCGGCAGCGTTCTTAAACAAGGCAGTGAAGCCTGTACTCATTGGTGGTCCTAAACTGAGGGTGGCTAAGGCTTGTGATGCATTTGTTGAACTTGCCGAATCATGTGGTTATGCATTTGCTGTTATGCCATCAGCTAAGGGACTAGTTCCTGAGACACACCAACACTTCATTGGAACTTTCTGGGGTGCTGTCAGTACTGCTTTCTGTGCTGAGATTGTGGAATCTGCTGATGCTTACTTGTTTGCTGGACCCATTTTCAATGATTACAGTTCTGTTGGGTACTCACTTCTTCTCAAGAAAGAGAAGGCTATCATTGTGCAACCTGACCGGGTTGTCATTGGAAATGGGCCTGCATTTGGGTGTGTTCTGATGAAGGATTTCCTGAAAGCACTTGCAAAGCGTCTCACACACAACAACACTGCATATGAAAATTACTACAGGATATTTGTTCCAGATGGCCATCCTGTGAAGTCTGAACCTCGAGAACCTTTGAGGGTTAATGTTCTGTTTCAACATATACAAAACTTGCTGTCCGGTGAAACAGCAGTAATTGCTGAGACAGGGGACTCATGGTTTAATTGCCAAAAGCTGAAATTGCCAAAAGGATGTGGGTAAGTATCCGAGAGAATGTGATTTGTGATTATACTTTTTTGTTAGTGTTTTTAGTTTTGATTAAAAAGATATGTTGACAGGTATGAGTTCCAAATGCAATATGGATCAATCGGATGGTCGGTTGGTGCAACTCTTGGTTATGCACAGGCTGTCCCTGAGAAGCGAGTGATTGCTTGCATTGGTGATGGAAGCTTTCAGGTTTGTCTTGCATAACTACTTAAGCATGATTTCAATCAAAATAAATTTCATTTTATGTAGTAGTTAAAATTTTTCTAGGCACAGTTTTATTTTATTTTATTTTTTTTCACTCAACAATTTTTTAACTGATGATAGTGTTTTTATCTTGCTTTATAAATTTTTTGCAGGTGACAGCCCAGGATGTATCCACAATGCTGCGATGTGGGCAGAAGAGTATAATCTTCCTAATAAACAATGGTGGATACACAATTGAAGTTGAAATTCATGATGGGCCATACAATGTGATTAAGAACTGGAATTACACTGCCTTGGTTGATGCAATCGATAATGGTGAAGGAAAATGCTGGACCACTAAGGTGCCCTTCTTAATATAATACATTATTCTCAAAAGTTCATTTTTGTTAACATGGTAAAGTGCTGATAATAAATTATTTTATATTTTGCTTTGTTGCACAGGTCACATGTGAAGAGGAGCTTGTTGAAGCAATTCAGACAGCAACAGGACCTAAGAAGGACTCATTATGCTTCATTGAAGTGATAGCTCACAAGGATGACACCAGCAAAGAATTGCTTGAATGGGGCTCCAGGGTCTCTTCTGCCAATAGTCGTCCTCCCAATCCTCAGTGAATTCAGACATTTCAGACATTACAATGTTAATGGAATTCAGTTTATAGCTCTATTGAGTTGAGATTCCTTTAAGATACTTAAGTACGAGAGAAATTTTGTTTTGATAAATGCAAAATTGATAATGCTTTTGCATTTATTATAATATGTTTAAACGAGAGTGCATTCATTCATCTCGGACAAAAGTTATCTACCGCTTTTTTCTGCATCAATGCTATTGGATTCTTACGTTCATTTTTCTTATACGGGTACAGGATTTATTAGGCATAATTAATTAAACTTTTAAGATATAGTAAAAGTATTGGTAATAATAAAGGATATGATAAAAGATATGATATAATCATTCGTGTACCTTAATAGATTTAATTTTTGGGAGAGTTGGTGCACCACGTAATATTAAAGTCTATGATCAAGAGGATACCAAAAAAAAAAGTCTATGATCAAGTAATTTAGAGCTTCATCCTTCTAATTTATTTTATTCCATTTATGTTCCTATTCCTTAAAATTACAATTCCATACACCTGTCGTAAAATGGTTGAATATTACAATTCCATATGCCTTTACTTAATAGGTTTAATTTTTGTGAGAGTTGGTGCACCACGTAATATATGATCAAGTAATTTAGAGCTTTATCCTGCTAATTTATTTTATTCCATTTATGTTCCTATTCCTTAAAATTAGGGATGTGCAAAATGTCCAAAAGAACCAAACCGATCCATAACCAAACCGCTTCATATTTTAAAAACCGGTTATTTTTAAAAACGGGTTTCATATGAAACTGCATTTTATTTTATAAACTGGTTATTTACCAAACCATAAAAATAATTGGTTATCCATGATTATCCATAACCAAACTATTTTACAATTAAAGAACAAATAAGTATTATCTTTTATCCTTAACATTAAAATGTGAAAATTACATAAATATGAATCATTTTTAAATGTGACATTATTAGAAAAGTCTCAAATACTAACAAAATTTATCGAAGAAAAATATTTCGTCGAAAATTTTGACAAAAAACATATTACGTACAAAATAGAGACGAAAAAAAAATTCGTCGAAACTAGAGACAGAACAAGATAATTACTGACATAAATTTTTGAGGGACAAAATATTTCAGTCAAAATTCTTGATAGAATCTAAATTCCGTCGAAACTTTCGACAGAAACAATTCTGTCAAACATTTGAACGAAAAATAATTCTGTAAAAATTTTTTACGAAACACATTTTCATAAAAAAATTGACAGAAAATAATTTCGTCAAATTTTTTTACGAAAAATATTTCCGTCCAAATTTTCAACAAAAAATATTTCCAACAAAATTTTCAACAAAACACATTTACAGCGAAACTTTTAAAAAATATTTACGTAAAAAATTCGACGAAAAATATTTCAGAAACTTTTTTTATGGAAAATATTTCTATAAAAATTTCTGACGGAAATTTTTTTTGTCAAAGTTCTTTACGAAATCTAAATTCCCTCCAATCATTTCCCTCAAATTTTTTGACGAAATTTTTTTTTATAAAACATTTTGACGAAAAATATTGTTCGTCATAAAATTTTATTGAAATATTGTTCGTCATAAAATTTTTATGAATATGTTTTTTCCGTCAAAAGTTTCCAAATGAAATGTGTTTCATGGAAAATTTTGATAAATATATTTTTTTTGTGAGAGTTCCAACGCATGAGAGAAGCTGGTTGTTTCACTGTTGCTCAACCGCTAGAGAGACTCGGCTAGTGCTACCTTGGTCTTGGTGGTCTCTTTCAAATTCACCGTAATTATTAAATAAGTCTCGGAAGCATGCAGTGTGTGTGTTGGGTTTTCGAGTTTTTTTTATGAAAGTGGTGGGTGGAGTTATTTATGAATATGTTTCGGCATTTATGATAAAATTATTTCGTCGCGAGAGTTCTAAAATAATGAAGATTCTTGCAAGAAATAGTTGGTTAACTACCTATAACCAGGAGAAACAAACGATTACTTATAAAAATAGCACAATCTATCAAAAATCGATTTTCAATTTGTTAAAAAACCTGTTTTGAATTTGATAACCGGTTTATGGTTCATAACCGGTTTTGATTTAAAACCGGTTTAAACCGGTTTTAATTCAAAATCGGTTATAAACCACAAACCGGTTTTAAACCGGTTTGGACAAATTAAAAACCGATTTTTTTAAAAAAAATTGGTTTGGTTTAAAATCCAAACCGTTTAAAACTAGTTTGGTTTGGTTTTTGACAATAACCGAACCAAACCGCTCCATGCACACCCCTACTTAAAATTACAATTCCATACACCTGACGTAAAATGGTTGGAATATTACGTGGAAAAGAGGGCATGAATTTATTGCGTGATGCTTTTCACAACGCATTTTAATAAGATAAGTACGAGGCTAGCCACATTAGTAAACACTAGCTAAACCACAAGGGACAATGAACCAAATGCCATACTACTTATAAAAAATTATTCGAATATCATGGATTGAAATTTTTTTTGTAAAATGTCACGTCACCTAACTCGCTATAACAACTAGCGAGTTAGGTGTGCACACGTGATAGCATATTCATGTTACATAAGTCGCTGCATAGTATAACGAGATTACATTACAGACAGCTTCTGCCACGCTGCCTACATTGCTAGGCAGCTTGGCGTTTTACATGTCAGATTTTCTAACACGTGTCAAACTCGCTATGCTGCATCCTGCATAGCATATTATGTGTCAGTTTTTCTTACATGTGTCAAACTTGCTGTGCTGCATAGCATTTTATGTGTCAGCTTTTCTGCCATACTCGTTGTTCTACATAGCATATTATGTGTCAGATTTTAAGTAGTCCAGCATTTTTAGTTTAATAAATTCACCACTTCCACTCCCATTTCATGCATCAATGAGGGTTACATTTCATTTCTGTTTGTTAATTTCTGTTGTCTTCTTTTTTTTACATTTCATTTCTCACATTGTTCAATAAATAATCATCTGAAGTTGCATCTTTTTTTCACCCAAATTTTTTCAAAATGAGTGAGGACAATGATTCATTAATTGTATTAGTCTATTATAATGGGCGAAAATATATAGACTAATTTAATTAATTAACAGTTCTAAAATACTTTAAATTAATATAGACTAAATTAAACTAAATTAATTAACAAACATAAATTTAATTTAATTCATTAACACTCGTAAATTAAATTAAATTACTTAACAGTTAAAAATAATTTAACTTAACATAAATTAAATTAAATTAATTAATACTCCTACATTAAATTAAATTATTAACAGGCATAAATTAAATTAAATTAATAGTCCTAAGTTAAATTATTTTCCATAAATTATTTAAAACTAAAATATTCAAACCAATATAATTTTTTCTTAAATTATTTTATTTCAAAATACAAAATATAATTCATGTTATCTATCCTAGGTTTAATTTATGCACTAGCAAATTAATTAATATCTAACTATATCATCTATCCTAGGATTTAATTTCTATACTAATAAAAAATATCATCTAATCTATCATATAAAATAACATCATTTAAATTTAAAATAATAAACAAAATTGCAGTGAAATAAAATTAGACTAACCAGTGAGAGAGAATGGAAAAAAGGGGAAGGGAAACGTTGTCTGTGAAAATGGGGGGACCAGTGAGAAAGAGTGGGAAAAAAGGGGAAGGGCGATTTTATAGTGGTGGGGACTACTAAATACGCTGAACAGTGTAGCGATTTTGGTCCGATTGTGATACGCGTCACGTATGCATTCTGTGGCGCTACGGTGGCCACGTAAGATGCTAGATAGTCTAGCGATTTTGGCCATTGACATGCCAAGCAGCCTAGCCTTTTATGCCGGCAGGCTGAGGCAGTAGTTGTCTGCCACATAATCTTGTTGCATTGTGCAGCGACTTACGTGGCTATGAACCTATTGCCACGTGTACAGACCTAACTCACTAGGTGTTGTAACGAGTTAGGTGACATGGCATTTTGGAAAAAAAATTCATTTTGTGGCATTCAAGTAATTTTTTGTGAATAATGTGGCATTTTGGTCGTTGTCCCAAACTATGAAATAATATAAAAGCTACATTTCTCTTTCATTCTTTTTGTTCTCTTCTTTCCCTCTTCTTTATCGTTAGGTTAACACCTAACAACTGGTGCTTTCATCTGAACTACATCATTATGAAGATTCAAGAAGTTGCCGAGGACTTAGCAGTGCTGCAGCACCACGTGGATAATCCTCATTCATAGCTTCAGCAGTAGCTTTCCTTGTTGGTCTCTTAGGTTCAACAGTCGGGTGACTCCATGGAGGCTAGCTGCATTGAAGACAATCTAGATGGAGATTCCTCCCTTTTATAGTAATGACCCAACTAATTAGATCTTTCTAACCGAGTTGTTCTTTCACTTACAATAAATCCTAGATGATTTCAAGATTGAATTGGCGAGTCTTCGAATGGATGGCCCTGCTGCTCTATGGTACCAGTGGGTCTACAGAAGTAGCAAGATTCATTCTTAGGCAAATTTTTCTCGTGCCTTGCGCTCTCATTTTGGGACTTTTTCTTATACAAATGTCACAGGTCTCCTCTGCAAGTTGTCTTAAACTGGTTCCTTAGGGGATTATATTAGGGAATCTGAGACCCTGATGAATCAGGTTCCGGATTTGGGCAATGAGTTGCTGATGAATTTTTTTCATTTTAGGTTTACAGCCTGATCTCTGTCGTGCAACCCAGCTTCATTACCCAACCTCCTTGTTACATGCAATGCAGTTTTCTCATACCTATGAATAACACCATTCAAATTTGAAGGTTTGGCTCCAATCAATGACCAGAAAGTTTTCTACAAGATTGCACTCCTCCCAAGATTCTTCTACTGGGGTAGTCCCTGCGACCACTAATGTTGATTGTGTCCCCCCCCCAATCGGGTAGCCTTAAAAATCCTCCTTCTTCGCAAGTATCCATTTCCTCTTCCTCATTGCCAATCAAGAAATTATCTGTGGAGGAACTGCAACAGAAGAGGGAGCTGGGTTTATGTTATACCTGTAACGAGAAATGCATATCCCATCATAGGTACAAGAGCAAGATGCTAGTTTTGATAGTTGATTCTGATGAAGAGGATCCAACTGAGGAAATAGTATGGAATGCGAGCATCAAGGTTCAAGAGGTGCAAGATGTGGCATTACACTCCTTGTTCGGAGACACGAATACAAGGGCATTACGTTTCAATGCACAAGTGGCTTCTGAGTATTTAATGACCCTAAATGGTAAATCTTAATTACAAATTTAATTTAAGGATTTAAATGCCATAATTAGATTCAGTGAATGATTCCGAGTATTTTGACTGTAATCATGACTATGTTATGAACAGTGCGTTCTGCCGGAGAATTTACAGTTTTGTGAATTAACCGGTAGAGCTTAAAAGAGCAAAATAATTTTAGAGACATAATTTGATAATTCTGACGACAAATATGAGTTCAGAACGAAAAATTGTACAGTCTGGCACTTTCCGTGAAAATCTCGTGAATAGTGTTTCTACCGGGTATTTGGTACTGCTGTTTAAGCAACCGGTAGAGTCCAGAAATAAATAATTGATGAAATAAAAATAAGAAAGTCCAATATATGCCAAGCAAGTCAATATAGGCCCAAGAAAATGATAAGTATAAGTTTCATAAGTAAATGAAGTACAATTAGTGATTCACAGTGCATTTCGTCAAAAACGGTGCAAAAACCATACTGTGAATTATGAATATTGTTTCTTGGGAAATAAAAATGAATGTAAATGTGGACAGAAAAAATAAAAATAAGTCTGTAGCTTTAAGTTAAGTTCCGGGTCATTTTAAGTAAAATACGCGATAGAAAAATATCTGTTAAAAAAGGCCACATGTGCTAGCCTTATAAGTGACTTAGTCTCGTTATCCCAAATCAGTTTCTCTCTCCTCTCACCCTCTCAAACCCGAGTTGCACCATTGGAGAAGGGGGGTAGGGTTTTGAATTTCTCCTTGATTCTCCATCATTTCTACTCCAAATTCAAAGACCCACCACATGAAATTGCTTGTAAACCACCCAATGAACCCATTCCAACCATCAATTTGAGGTTTTGTTGAGTGTGTGAAGAGTTATCCTCTCCTTCAAATTCGTGCACTATTCATCAAGAGGGCAAAAATGAAGTTTTTGGTGGAGATCCTTTTGGTAAAGGACTTCTAGGCTTTGGGGTAGTTGTTGGAGGTAACAAACCTCTATTCTCATGATGTTGTCTTGATTATTTTAAGTTACAAATTGATAGATATGTTTTGATGGGAGAGTATTATGAGTTAAAAATTGATTTGTTGATGAATCCTTGGTACCTTGGATGTAAGTAATGAAAAGGAGCATTTTAATGCATGTTAAAAGTAGAGAAAAATCATATGTTTTCCCTCCTTATGTTCGGCCTTGATAGGGTAATAAGAGTTATTGTGCAAATTTTAATTGATGTATTTGAGAAGGGTTTTATGTGTGCAAGTAGGTGAAAAATTATGATGGATTGTTGTTGGTTAGGAAGGATAGTGTTAGTAAGCATCAACTTGTGATAAAAAAATTGAAAAGCCCTTGTGCACCTTTCCCCTAGGTTTCGGCCTTCATGGGTTATGTAAGGTTCATTATGCAAAATTTTATTGTATGTTTGAAAAGGTAAAATATGTTGGAATGTAGTGTAAATGGATGAATTGGTGGAAATGCCAAAGTTGGAAAAAAATCCTACAAATACTTGCTCTATGTTTCGAACTATAGGATGTTTAGGGGTATATATATATTGGTTACATTTTATTCTAATAAAATGTGTTGCATTTTAATATACCAATGGATGAGCTAAGAAGTGAAATGCTTTGACAAATGGTTGAAAAATACCTTGAGTCCCTAAGAGTATGCCCTCGACTTTTAAAGAAAAATAGCATGATTTATGTGGAAAATTCTTAAGTAAATGCTTGATTAAATTAAAGAACGCCAACGGGTGTATAGAGGTCTAGACTTGTGTATTGGCATAGAATTGGCAAAAATATAAAGAAAGGAAAATAAGCGATAAAATCTATGCTTATGAAATAATAATGGCATAGTATCATTTTATTGATGCATTGTAAATTATTCTCTAGGTGTGCCTAGGGATTGAGAAGGATCGGAAATCTCTTGAAGCGATAAAAGTAACTTGTTCCACAAGTAAGCGTATTGGTAAAGCTTCAAGAGGTAAGCTCTATGTTTAAGGAGTCTTTTCCTACTTGAGTGCTCCACCATAGTTGGGGACTATGGTTGGACTCTATGACTGTATTGATACTCTGTATAGGTGCATTCATATAGAGTTATTTGATGATATGAAATGATATGATATGATAAGAAATGATCTGATATGACATGATATGATATGACTGGTTCTGATATAAATTCTGTATTGACTTCTGGTACACTGATGTCTTCTTAGGACTTTCCTGAGATTGACTATGTACACCTCTGAGATACTCTGGTTCCGCTTGGGGTCATCCCTTGGGAACACGTGCGTTGAATTCCGCTTGGGGTCATCCCTTGGGAATTACAGCGCACACCTCTGTTATGATATGGTTATATGTTCTGTTCTGTTATGATATTTGTTATATGTTGTACTGGTATACTCTGTATCTGACTTTCATGCAGGAGTGAGCCAGGGGTATGGAGAATTCTCTATAAACCTGGAGCTTACTGAGATTTGAAATCTTACCCCTCGTTGGGGCAACATTTTCAGGTGCACAGACTTCCGGTGAGCCTTCGTTAGGCAGGGACACGGCACGGGGCTGAGACGTTTCACGGATCAGTATTTTGAGTAGCTGTAGGCTACTAATCTTTTTGGAGTGTACCTATGTATTTCGTATTTCCGTAGTGATGGATCATTATGTTAGATCCTGTATTTTGTATATGGCTTGTATATGTCTTGTACATGTCATTCAGTTGATGCATGTACCTTTGGTATTCAGGCATGTTGATATGACTATGTAGTATTCAGTTATGTTTCTGTATTGGACTACATGCTGTTAGATTAGTGGCACAGAGCCAATTTCTGCATGCGCCCATGGATGGGTATCTGATTATATTGCATGACTGGTACTTCTGAATATGAATATTATTGAAACTGTCTATCAGGAACTCTTGGGAGTGGGATTGGAAAATCCCTAGTTGTCCGATTTACAGAGGTTACTCTGTCCGATTTTTGGTTATACTTGGTATGAAGCTAAGAAGAAAAAGAAAAAGTTAGCCCGTATTTCCGTAAGATAAGTCTTCCGCTGTATCTGTTTATATCATATGTATGTTAATTGAACCGGCTCGAGACGGGGATATTACATTTATGGTATCAGAGCAGTTTCTCTAGGAGAGCCTGTGAAATATTGCATAAATTGTTCGGGTTATTATGTTCTAGAGTGTTTTCCTTGGAGTACTATGATATGCATGTATGATCACTGAGTGTGAGCGTAGCTAACTCATTCCTTTGTGTGAAATATGCAGAATTATGGTTCGCCCAAGAAGGACTATGGATCCTCCTATTGACCCGACAAATCCAACTATAGCTGATTTGGCTAGGCCTCGTGTAACTCAGCGGGGTGGTTCTTTACAGCCAGATCCAATGATAACGGCCTTAACTGAAACGCATCAAAATATGGCTGCAGCTAGGCAGCGAGAGCTAGAAGTGATGATGAAAGCAAATCAAGATCTGTTAGAGGCTAATAGGTTGGCCAATCAAGAAATGATGGCAGCAAGCAGAATGGCGAATATTGAAATGATGAGATTACTCTTGGTTGAGGTGAGGGCGGGTGGGCAAGGTCCACAGCCACAGCCTTTGCAACAGCCACAACCACAGCCACAGCCTGAGCCACAACCACAACAGCCTGTTCCTCCTCCTCATAATCCCATTGTTGTGGAGGGTGAAGGAAATAATTATATGAATGAAGAATCTAGTCACAGGGGTGGTGTGGCACAACCAGCCACTAATAGAGAGCAAAGAGAAAGAATGCTTAATGCCTTCCGAAAACATGCACCACCAAATTATAAAGGAGGCATTGATCCTATTGCTGCAATTCAGTGGTTAGAAGAATTGGATCGCATTTTTACTGTCATGGAGTGTGATGATCAGCAGAAATTGTTGTATGCTTCTTATATGTTGCAGAATGATGCAGCTGATTGGTGGAGAAATACCCGTCAGCCCTTGGAATGTCAGGGTTATGCTATTACCTGGCCTTTATTTGAAAGGCAATTCTTGCTGAAATACTTTCCGGCTGAAGCCCGGATAAGGAAGAAGGGTGAATTTGAAGAACTAAAGCAGGGTCAGATGTCTATTGATGAATACTTGAATAAGTTCAATAAGCTGGCCAAATACTCTCATTTCCAGAGAGCTCCACCTACAGAGGATGACTTGATTTTTAAATTTCATAGAGGATTACATGATAACATCTCTGAAAAACTTGCAGGTGACTCATTTGATACTTTTGCTGCACTTGTTAAAAAGTGTAAAAATATTCAAGAATATTACAGAAGGAAGCACAAGGACCAAGCAGCTTCTAATTCTGGTCCTAAAAGTAATACTGGAAATTCTAAGGGAAAAGGTTTGCAGGTGAAGCAGTCTGATGGTAAGTTCAAGAAGATAGGGAATTCAAACCAGGGGAATTTTAAATCTGTTCCTCAATGTGCTATCTGTGGAAGAGCCCACACAGGGGTCTGCAGGAAAGAAAAAGGGCTTTGTTATAAGTGTGGTCAACCCGGGCATTTTATTAAAGACTGCCCCTTTAGTGGGGGACAGGTTTCTGCAATTCAGGCTACCCCGGCCCCTATGATGATTGAGGAGCCATCTCTACCTCTCCCACCTCCTACTGCCCGAGTGTATGCAGTGACTCAGCCAGAGGCTGAGAAATCCTCTACTTTGGTGCGAGGTATGATTTCTATTAAAGATGAACTGCTTAGTGTATTATTTGATTCTGGTGCCACACATTCTTTTATTGCTGATTATGTAGCCGACGCATTTGGTCTGCCTTTGACAATAATGAAAACTCCTATGCGTATTGTTACGGCTGTGGGGAATGTTTTTAATGAAAAGTATATTTGTGAAGATGTGAAATTCAAGTATGAAGGCAAGGAGTATTCTGCCGATTTTTTTGTTTTGCATCTTGCGTCTGTAAATCTGATTTTGGGAATGGACTGGTTGTCTAAATACTGTGTGAAGATTGACTGCTGCAGTAAAACCATTTCTATTTCATCTCATGATGAAGAAGGGAAATCTCCTTACTTATCTGTACTTCGGGTTATAAAAGCCTTAAAGGAAGGAGATTCTGGGTTTATTATGTTAGGAGGTCTGGTAGGCGCCATTAAGGAGCCCATTTCTGGTATTCCGATTGTTTCTGAATTTGAGGATGTCTTTCCGAATGAAATTCCGCACTTTCCCAGAGAGGGAAATTGAATTTGCAATTGACTTATTGCCTGGTGTGGGACCTATCTCTCTTGCCCCATACCGGATGTCACCTCTGGAATTATCTGAATTGAAGAAGCATATTGAAGACTTATCCAATAAAAATTTTATTAGGCCGAGTGTGTCTCCTTGGGGATCCCCGGTGATCTTTGTTAAGAAGAAGGATGGGTCTATGAGATTATGTACAGACTACCGGCAGTTGAACAAGGTTACTGTTAAGAATAAGTATCCTTTGCCGCGGATAGATGATTTTTTGGATCAGTTGCGGGGTGCGACTGTATTTTCTAAAATTGACCTCCGGTCCGGGTATCATCAAATCCGGATAAAGCCGGATGATGTTCCGAAGACAGCTTTCAGGTCCCGTTATGGGCACTATGAATACCTGGTTATCCCTTTTGGGCTTACAAATGAACCAGCCGTTTTCATGGGTTATATGAATCGGATCTTTAAAGCCTATCTGGATCAGTTTGTGGTGGTCTTTATTGATGACATACTGATATATTCAAAGAGTAAAGAAGAGCATTCTGAGCATCTAAAGGTTGTTTTGCAGATTCTGAGAGAGCATCAGTTGTATGCTAAACCGTCAAAGTGTGAATTCTGGCTTTCTGAGATACAATTTCTGGGCCATGTCATCTCATCTGAAGGAGTGGCAGTGGACCCGAGTAAGATTGAAGCAGTGTTAGAATGGGAACGTCCTAAAAATGTTACAGAGATCAGGAGTTTTCTTGGTTTGGCTGGATATTATAGGCGTTTTATTGAGGGATTCTCACAGATGGTATTACCTTTGACACGGTTAACCCGTAAAGGGAACCCATTTGTGTGGACCCAAGAATGTGAAGTGAACTTTCAAGAGTTAAAAAGGAAGTTGACTACAGCTCCGGTATTGATATTGCCGGATCCTACAAGTAAATTTGTGGTGTATTGTGATGCTTCTAAGTTTGGGTTAGGCTGTGTTTTAATGCAGTTCCGTCAGGTGGTCGCTTATGCTTCTCGGCAGTTGAAACCGCATGAGGAGAATTATCCGACACACGATCTTGAGTTGGCAACCGTAGTGTTTGCATTGAAAATCTGGCGACACTTTCTATACGGGGCCGATTTTATTGTCTACAGTGACCACAAAAGTTTAAAATATCTGTTTGATCAGAAAGAGCTGAATATGAGGCAACGCCGATGGGTGGAATTCCTGAAGGATTATGATTTTGAATTGCAATATCACCCCGGTAAGGCTAATGAAGTAGCAGATGCTTTAAGCAGAAAGGCGCTTGGTATGGCCAATTTGATGATTTCTGAGTATAATTTGATTGAGAAATTCAGGGATCTCCGCATTCCTGTGAATACAGAGGATAGTCCGCATTTATTGACTACAACGGTAGTCCTGAACTCATTAGTTGAGCGGATTAAAGAAGCTCAATTGCTTGATGAAAAGATTCAGACTATGAAAGAGCAGGACTTTGTGTCCACTGATAGGTTCGGTTTTAAGTTTTACAAGGATCAGATCATTGTTCCAAAAGGTCAGATGGTAGATGAAGTATTGACTGAGGGTCACATGGGTAAGTACACTATCCATCCTGGTGCTACCAAGATGTACCAAGACTTGAAACGAAACTTCTGGTGGTCGGGAATGAAGAAAGACATTGCTCTATTTGTGAGTAAGTGTTTGACATGTCAGAAAGTTAAGATTGAGCATCAGGGACCTTCTGGATTATTGCAGCCCTTAGATATTCCGGAATGGAAGTGGGTCAGTATTTCTATAGCCCTTGCTTCTTCTCTCTCTTTTTTCTTTTCCGGTAAGAAAATATTGCCCTTGCTCTGTAGAATAAAAATTTAAATATAGAATTTTATGAGGACAAGGAACAACACATTTAGATTAAGTTAACTTTGATGGTCACGGGGGATGTGCTAATGAGAAAAAGTACGTTTAGATGTGCTAATGAGAAAAAAGCTGAAGCACCAAAAGCTGTTTGTAATAGATTCTCTAATAAAAAGCACTAAGCTATTATTTTTTACTTAAGAGTAACATTTGCAGTTGGTTTTTCCCACGAACTGAACATTGTTTGAATGTTTTCTTGGGAGAAATTATTGAATTTTAGCCTAAATATAAACAATAAAATGTAGGATCAACATACACGGACTTAAGAATAACACGTCTTATACTTAAAATCTTAACCGTTGATCAGACTTATATCTAATAACTTGCTTGATTAATAAACTAAAGTCGTTAGATACAAGTGAAATCAACAGCGAAGATTCTTCCCCAGATAATAATATAAAAGTTTTAATAATGTTATGTAATATAAATGTAGTAGATATTAAAATAAAATAGTTTTGAAAGAGATATTGAGAATCTAATCATGCATGGTATACTTTTTTAGGTAATTGTTGACAAAAGCTAGTGTGGTGAGTTCTCGTAAGTTCTTGATTTGTTATGTCTGTTTCGTAGAAAACTTTTAATTTCTTTTACCATTAACGGTTATCTACTTAGCTCATTAATTACCTTTAATTTTTTTTCTTAATCATTTATGGCTATAAACCTTGCACATAGTCTATCAAAATGCATAATGTATTTGAAAGGATCTAAATTTAGCATTTCTTTACCATATAGAAAGATAAAAAGACTGTAGGAACGGATGAGGTAGTCTCATAGTAGATTTTTGGGTGCTATGATGCGCCGAGTAGCGTAAAAGATAATAAATATGTTGGATAATAATTATTAAAACATACAAATAAAACTGTTAACTTCAGAATCCAACATCTGCTAAGATAATATCTGCATTTTATTACAAGGTCCTAACCTTGCAATTGAAGTCAATCAGAAATTAACGGATACCAGCAAAGTATGCTAAAGGACCAACAATAGCACCGTTGGTGTAAGTTGCAGGTTCGGAATGACTGTAATCATTGCGATCTTCTGTGAATCCATCATTTTGGTTTGGACCTCCAACTATGGCTCCAACCAATATGTTGGGATTAGGATTCATTGAATAATAAAATGGTTGGAAACCTTCATCACAGCCTATGGTTTGTGGATGAGTTGCTATTGAAGGCAAGGAAGATCCTCTGTGGTGAATTTTCTTGGGAAAGTTGGGACCATAACCTACCATGTAGGACAGTCTTAATGGGTTTTCTCCTAATATGTAGTCTACCTGAAATTTTACAAATAAATTTTGTTAACAAATGAATATGCAGAAGAGAAGAGAATATTGAATGTACAAATGTTGAAATAACGAGAGTTACCTGTCTTTTTGCAATGCTCCTTAAGGTATTTGGAGTGACAAGGACATTGCCACAGTTAAATGTCTGCTTTGTAGCTGACATATACTTGGAATAGGTTGTAAGTAAGAATGTTATAGATGTCACATACTGAAGGTTGTTGTCAGGAAGCTTGAACATGAGCCCCCCTGCACATAAATAGAAGTAATGCATAAAATAGTGTCCTTCTTAATACTTTCGGAGCCCTTCAAAGTATATTTGACTGAATATGAAAAAATTTGTCATATTTAACAGTTCCATGCCATCATTCCCCATTCTTGGAATTATTTGTAAAATATCCCTTAATAAGAATACTTCAAAGTTCAAAGGTAGAACAAAAGTACATGAGAATCCAGAATTGTACTTTTGAACGTGTGATTCACTAAGTTTTAGGTAGATTTTGGATATTAATAATCATGAGGTATATATCTTTGAAATTCAAATTCATGATGTTCCCTTTACCTGGTGTATATTGTGTACTTGAAGAGCCAGAGTTGGGCACTATCTTGCAAATGAAATTCTCAGCTTCTTGCTTGAATTGATCAAAGTTGTTGTCACTGTTTAGCAATGCTCTCTGCAGTAACAATTAAAAGGAATAATAGAAACCCAGTGAGTTAAAACAAACTTCAGGCTTAATCTTCACATTTTTTCATTGCTGGCACATGAACAACTTACCCTTGAGAGAAGAACATATGCACCAGCAAATTTGTTGTCCCAGCTGAAGACATCTGGTTGATCATTAGATCCCATGGACTTGACCAAATTATAGTAGGAAACAGCATTTGTTGCTCTGAAAAGCCATGCAGCTCCCCACAATAGCTCATCCTGAAAATACATAAAGCATATTAAAATAACACATTAATAGTAGCACAAAAAAGTTGGTAAACAGTAGCAACAAACAACAAAATGGCTTTACCTTAAAACCAGAATATGAGCAGTAAAATGGGCAAACTGCAGATCCTAATGAATCACTGTAAGAACCTTGATACTGCAAAGCAAATTCATAAACTTCTCGGGCAGTCTTCACCAACAAACTAGAGTATGTTGGGTCAACATGTCTAAAAACAATAGATGCAGAAGCAAGAGCAGCAGCAGTTTCAGCAGCAACATCTGAACCAGGGTTATTTGGAGATACCGAATACACAGTTCTGCCAGTGTCCATGTCCTCTGGCCTTTGCCAACATTTGTGGTCCACATTTGGGTCTCCAACTCCAACATAAAGCTTACCAGGAGTGGATGTAGCACACTTTAGGAGGTAATCTGTGGCCCAACGAATTGCAGCTCTTGCTTCTTTGATTTGGGGTCCCATTCTCTTGCCATATTCAATTGTGCTCCATGATAACATTGTTGTGGTGTATGCCATTGGAAAATTGAATTTCACATTGTCTCCTGCATCATAGTATCCTCCACTTAAATCCACCTGCCAAACAAAAGTTTTGGATTTGTAAGCCACTCTTTTAATGTAGATTTTTTAAAATGCATTTATTGTGTTATATTATTATTTATATATATATATATATGTACAATTGATGAAAATTAAGTCATACCAAAGTTTATGCATTGAAAGTTAATGATGAAGCAAATTATTAGTCATTCATTGTGATTTGGAATTAGGTAAATTGCGATATTAATCATACAAATCTCAAATAGTACAAACAATTGAGAAAATGAAAGATGAGACAATAGGATGCATCGTACAGCACAATACTGAAAGTAGGGAAGGGATGATTGTATAAGAAAGAAAACATTTCAAATACCATTACTTTAAGGTCTTTTAAATTATAAATATATGTGTGTTATTATATTGGTTGGAGAAGTTCAACCGATTTTGTATTTAAATTTCAAGTAAAAAAACTTTTATAATGTTTATATATTTTATTTATTTGATAAATAATAATTATGTGAATATAAAATTTTAATTTAATAAATAATAAACATTTGATCATTTAATTTTAATTATTTAATATGTAAAATAATAAAAATAATTTGAACCACTTTAGGGTTTAAAAAAAAGTAAAAGATGGAGACAATGACAAATATTAATACCGGAGTTATTTTTTTGGACAAATCACATATATCCCACATGGAAAATAATCTTGTTCGAGTTGAAAATATTTACATCATGGGGAGAGTAAGCGAATCAAGTATGTACCACTTGAATCAGCACCCTTTAAACAGTTATTTATACCAAAATTTACTCTATGAAATATTTGATTTAAGATACAAGGTGATAAAACATAACTTTTCAAGAGAGAAAAAATAGGTTAAAGACAAAAAAACTAGCATCAAATCAAAGAAATGATATGCTTCCTCAGTTTTTTTATTTTGTTCACATGAATCTCAACATCAAGCTCCCTCCCTAAAGATGACAATTATATTGTGTTTAAAGGTTCAAAAGAACAAACAAAAAAATAAATTTATAAAAAGGAAAAAAAAAACATGAAATTTCTTACATTGGCTGAGCTACCATCAGAAAGACCTGAATTGGATCTCCATGTGATTTGTTGGTCCCGAGGAAGCCTTCCTGATCTCTGGCCTTGAAAAAATAATAAGGATTTAGCCAAAGCTTCTTTGTAGTTTGACAAATGGCTTATATAGCACTTTTGCATTCAGAAAAAGGAAAATCAATCACATTGCTTAAATTAAGCCATTTCTTGATTGTGATAACATTCAAATGTCCTTGCATGAAAATTAATAATTGCACAAAAAAAAATATCACATATAGAAATAAATGAGTCATAACTCATACGATTATAATAAAGGAAATAATAAGAAGAAAAAAAATACTATATTAAGATTTCTCTAATGATGTTGAATGAATTTTGCACAAACTCTGCACCAAAATTACATGAAAAATATAATATATGAGATTTGATTGGTATCTAAACATAATAAATTGTGTTAAGCTCATGCTAACACATGTTGCCACCAATTTTGTCCCTGGTTTC